CATTGGCCCTTTTCCAGTCCTCTGGCACCACACCAGAGCACCATGAATGCTCATAAAGCCGTGCCAGGGGTCCTGCAATGACCGCTGCTAATTCCCTCAGTACTCTGGGGTGGAGATCATCAGGACCTGCTGATTTAAATATGTCCATCCCTCCAGAAGTTCCCTGACTAGGTCCTCACTGACCCTAGGCCTGGGTACGCCACCCCTGGGGCCTGAGGGGGTCCCGGTGGATGGGCTGATCCAGTCCCTGCTAAGGAAAATGGAGGCAAAGAAATTGTTAAATAGGTTAGCTTTGTCATCTGGTGTGACGACCAGATTTCCTAGTGTGTCCTGCAGAGGCCCCATGTTACCCGGTACCTTCTTTTTACCCCCTATGTATTTAAAAAAGGACTTTTTGTTGTCCTTGATCCGGGTAGCTAGTTCCAGTTCCATCTTTGCCTTGGCCTTCCTGACCACCCTCCTACAGCCCCGAGCAACTGAGGTATAGTCCTCTGTGGTGATGGCCCCTCCCTTCCATTGGGTGTACACCTCCCTGTTAGCCAGGAGACATTCCCGTATGCTTTTGGTGAGCCACGGGGGCTTTTGTGCCCTCTTCCCCCTTTGATCCTTGTTTGATCCTTTGATCCTTTTTGGAGAGGGTTGGCAACAACCTCCTGATACAAGTGTTGGATAGGCCAGCTAGGGGCCTTACTTGGTGGCTCTTCTTGACCTGGTGCTCACAAATGGAAAAAAATGGTGGAAAATATAGTAGTGGATGGCGACTTGGACAAGAGTGACTATGAGATGATTGAGTTCAGGACCCTAAGAAAAGGAAGGAAGGAGAGCAGAAGAGTAAGAACCTTATACTTTAGAAAAGCAGACTTTGACTTGCTCAGGGAACTGATGGACAGGATCCCCGGAGAGGCCAGTCTGAAGGGGAGATGGGTCTAGAACACTTGGATGGACTTTAAAGAAACCTTACTGAGTGCACAAGAACTAACCAGCTTGATGCACAGGAACATTAGGAAGTATGGCAAAAGACCAACTTAACCAACGGGCTACCCAGAGAGGGTGTGGACTTTCCATCCTTGGAGGTTTTTCAGACCTGGATAGATAAAACCCTGCTGGGATGATCTAGTTGAAGATGGTCCTACTTTGAGCAAGGGGTTGGACTAGATGATCTCCTGACATAGGTGACATGTCGTGGGGGCACAGAAAGGTATGTGACACCCCTGACAGGGCCGCTGCCACCACCGGTGTCTATGGGAGCTTGCCAGCTACACCCCCACTGCTGACAGAAGCACCTGTGCGCGCCCTCCCAGACTCAGGAGGCACTGATCGGCCATGCCTCCTGAGGTCCTTTCCAACTCTAATTTTTTACAATTCTGTTTTTAAGTAATATAGGCAGCTGCCTAGGCCAGCAAATTGAAGGAGATAGCAAAAACAGTGTGTATACACTTCCCACATGCTCATTAGGGGCTACCTTATAAGTTTGAGCCTATGCAAAAGCAAGCAGGACAGCTACAGTGCTGCGGAGCCACTGGAGTCTCTGGTATCCCCACTCCCCAGGTCCCTGGTACGTTAAAAGGGAGGGTGGCAAAAACAAGCCTTTTACCATTCCCAGCAGAATCCATTCAGGCTTTCCAGGCACGTGTGTCTCTAGGCTGGGTCCCTTGAAGCATCCAGCTTCCCTGGCCACAGGAATCCAGGCAAAGTTATCTTCAAAACCTTGCCTTAGACTCAGTAAAGGTTTGTCAGTATAAAGATATTTTGAATTAAAGATTTCTACGCTCTATGAAGAGATGTTTTCTTACAGAAGCATGTCTTGCTGTAGAATTTCCAACCATCTCTAAACATTATGGACAATTTAAAATGCCTAGAATTCCTAAAGCCAGATTTCAAACAGACAAGATGCCTTAGCTGTCTGTGCACACTATACATAAGTGCACACAAATAGGAACTTATAAAGATGGAGGTGGGCAACTGTGCCCACAAATGGGCATGTGGGTACACGGATGTCACTATTTACATGCACAAATCCAGATGCATGTGGGCAGCTATTTTTTGAGGTATTGACTGAAGTGCACCTGTGTATGACTATTTGGCCTTCTAGGTCAGTAAATGCAGTTGATAAATGTCCTTTTAGAGGGATGAGCTTTTTTCTTAGAAGTGTTGATATTCTCTGAGTAACTGCATCAGGAAAAATATAAGTATTGCATCAGACAGAATCACACCGCACATTTGTTGTGCTCAATTTATGCCTAATCAAGGCAGTACAGAAAGCTTTCTGCTTTTTGTGGGTTTTGAAGATTTCAGTACCATGACAGAGACACTTTGCAGGCTACATAACTGGATCTATACCTTTTATGCAATAATCCAGGTTGAAATAAGAAAAACGATATTTTTATTTCCATGCCCATTCCTTCAGTAGTAGAACATTGCACCAGGACAGGGTAGGACCTCTTATCATAGGAGCCCAAATCCCTATTTAGCAAAGTAAAAGGCTACACACAAGATTTCATTATCCTCTTGAATTCTATTCCACCCATTTCCCCCCCACTTTCTCACTTACATGCTATATTTATTCAAAATCTCTGTCACCTTGACTCTTTCCTCTTTATACTTATTCTTTGGCACACACATACCTTTTTATTCAAGATCTTTTTGCTCTTACTCTGTCATTACGTAATGCAAATTTACCAAAGCATTCAGTGGCCATGTCTACATGAAATACTGACTGCACAGTTGTTACTCCAGTCATTTAGTACTTGCATACCCGAATACTAAATGACTGTGCAGTAATCGGCGTTTCTGCACAGTAGCATCCCCGCATGGCTTCTTGACAATGCTACTGTGCAGTAGTAAGTAGCTACTGTGCAGTAAGCATCTTGTCTAGACACCACCAATAGTATTCACTTTGTACTAGGGTGAAGCACTACAGATAAAGTTCTAAAAACCAAGACATAGCTGGGATGGAAAGAAAAGGGAATGAGCACACTGCAAAAAAGTCTAACTTGACTTTGGGTAACATTACTCAATTATTTACATTTAATTATGGTACCCATATCTTGTTGCTCATATTTTATCCCTAAATTGACAAGTGCACAGAAAAAAGCGCATTTTAAAGATAAGTAGGGAAATAAGATCACCCTGATCACAGACATGTTACAGCTATATTTCTCGCTCAAGAGCACTGGGTTTGCTAAAATAAGTTAATCAGCCTTCTGCTCATATTGGGCTACTGCTCTTATTTTAAAATCTATAGTTACCCCAATTATTGTAGATTCCCAACCACTGTAGATTGGAAAAAGTCTAGCTCTCAAAGGTCAAAGTATATTGTACTTGTTTCCATGTTTTCTTTATTAGTGCAAACCAGATTATAGTAAGACAGAAATTTCTATAAACATCTCAGTGAAAAAAAACATAATTGTTAAATATAAAGGTCTTTTTTTAAATTATAGATCAACCTCTTGAGACAATACACACATCACAGTGCAACATGCTATGGCAACAAAACCATGCAAAATATAGGGGTTTTTGTTTCAAATTGTTTGCTTACATCATTGCTATTTAGTTATTTTTAGTGACTTTGTCCCATCAAAGCCAAATTAATTCCTGAATTTGCAAAATAATACACTAAATAGATATTGCAGGAAGCCTTTGCCTATAACAAAACATCAAATGATTAGTTTTGTTTTAGCATGTGAGATACCCCCTCTGGATATTTTTGTTTTTTCTCTTCACATTTTGTTTGTTTATAAGATAAAAAAAAAATTATCTAAAGGGCTAAGACAAATATTCTTGAGACTCATTATACAGGAAGCAGTTTCTAAGAACTTCTCTTCCTCCTCTAGGATCTAAAAACAAAAACCATGATCTTTGCTGAAGCTCTTATACTTTTCATTTCAACACACAGTGGTCCATTAACTGATTGTCACAGAAAAAGCCACAAACACACACACGCACACACACAGAGCAGCATGAACTGCACAATTCAACAGACAATGCAGACAAACTTGAGTAGAATCCAAGATCTTTCTACCTCTTTTCATAACAGGTTAGTGCTCGCCCTCAGTGTTGGTGTACAGTTTTTATGGCATGGGAAAATAGGGATGTTTCTGCCCTATAAAAATAAATGTGTTGAATGCTTTAGTTTGAACTTGCACAATGTCAAAAAAGATCCAAAGACACTGGAGAGAGAGAAATAAAAAGAATCCCATAAGAGAGGACAGCAGTGGAACTCACATCTAGTGGTGAGGAAGTGGTCCAATGTCCATTTTTTACCTTAGTGCAACATCTTTAAAAAATAAGTTCTTACTTTTCAATGAAGAAGAAAAAGAGCATAATCAAAGAATGTAGACAGGAACGTTGACTGCTTTTACGTCCCCTTAATGACATCCAAACAAATTTTTTGTACAATCATAAGCATCAGCTACTTAGCAGGCACATTTGCTTCTGAGACGATAGACTAGACTTGAGAGACATTGAGGGGTATTTGTTATGGGTTATTTTCTCCCTGTGACCCATTATGAAAATGGACAAGAGCCTTTCTTGGAAAAGAAAGCAAAGACAAAAGGAAAGAAATCCAGTGTGTTAAAAATGCAAATGTCATTTGGTGATGCACTAGGAAAGTAACAATATCAAACAGGTTTTCACAGGTCCCCTTAGCTTAATTAAAAAAAACAAAACAAAACAAAACATGAACACACAGAGTGAATTAACTCCATATTCTAGGGTGAAGTTCATGCTTCTTAGTGCAAATGGCATGGCTTCCATAGGTCCATTCCTTCTTTTATGGCAACAGTAATAGCCTTCATTTTTTCTGAGGTCAGTCGGCAAAAGGATAGGGAGGGTGTAAAGAATGCTTAGTATAAAGCTGTCATTTCTATGTAAAGTTGTGAACTTGCATGAAGGCAACAGCTTTTTCTGCTGTCGCAGAAAAGAAAAGGTGAAGGAACTGGGTGATGAAGGGACAAGGGTGTTTCACCAGGCATGTTATTCTTCTAAGCCAATAAACTTACCACATTGCGTGTGAATTTCTCAAAAGATGTTCGACGATCCAGTGTGTGATCCAACTTAAATTTAAAAACAGGGAGGAGGAAAGAAAAAAAAAAGGAAAAAGAAATGAAAATAAAAAGAAAGGCCAGAAAAAAATAAAGCAGAAAAGAAGGAATGATGAAACGATGGACTGCAAAACAAAGCTCATGTACAAATCAAGAAGCAAAAGTAGATATGAAGCTGCTAGTGAATGCCAACTTGTATAACAGCAGATGGGTAAAGCAGTTAGAGTACTTGATTTAACAAAAGAAAAAAAAAATGTCAGGGGAACCAAACTGGTTTGAGTTAAAAATAAAACTGAAAATAAGAAAAAAAATAATGAAGTCCACAACTTGGGTTAATGAACCAATATTTGCAAAATTTAAGGACTACATATATACAGTAGTAGCTCTTTGGCATTTTTCAGTATTTTCATATTATAGGGAGTTTAGACATCAATATTTGAAAAACATCATAATAGTGTTTCCACATAATCCTCAGGCTGTTGTTTTGCACAGCATGGGATTCTGGAGTTCATAGCTATCATATTAGTTCTACTAATAATAATGGGCCAGATTCTGGAAGCACTGAGCTCCTTAGTAATAACAATTAGAATTCATCGCTCACTGAGTGGAAGAATCAGGTCCACTAAAAAAACAAACAAAAACATTGTTATTGAAATTTGAATGGTTTCAAAATGCCTCACATTTTAATATTTAGGACCAACCTTGCAGGTGCACTATTAGAGACATGCCTGTGCAGAACTTACTGCATGTTCTGGGCCTGTAAAATGAATGTCACATTAAGGGTATAAATCTTTTTCTGAAGGAATGTGGCATGATCTGATTTTCTTTTTAGATTTCTAGCCTAAATAAAATGAATCATGTAAAGTGGAAAAAAGAGAACTCCCAATGATTGAAATTAAGATCACTTGGCAACAAATTTAGTGGCTTTGGAAATGAAAATAACGAAAATGGCAATTATTACATAACCTTGGAAATAAAAAGACTGCTCTGTTGAGGTCTTATTTTATTTTTTTAATGTATTTATAAAAATACCTTTCAATTTAAATTGCTTGGCAACAGAAAGAGCAGGGCTATGTGTATAAATAAAAACAGGTCTTGTATTTAACTTATTAAAACATGCACACATGCAGGAGATATACACATGTATATATCTGGAACTACTGTATGCATGTGACCTCCAAATAAACCAGCCTAGTCACCTACCAGATATCCAGGTATACTGCCATGGGAGAGAGAAGACCAAGGATTGTAACAAACATAAGCACCACTTTGCGCAGTGGCAGTACAAAGGCAAGGTGCACCAATACCTTTTTCTTGGCCTGTAGCAGCTCCTGGTAGGCACTGGATCGTATAAAACGAGGATAGGAATCACTTTTCATCAGTTTGTAAATGTGCTCCTAAAAAAAGAAATATACCCAGATACAGACAGAGATTTTAAAATGAAATTTTGAAAATCTTTTCTTAAATTACAGCAATTACTGTCCATAGAAAACAACTTTTTAAACAACTGCAGGTTAAATGGTTAATTGGTTTGAGTTAATATTAATTTTAAAATGATTTTTTTAATGAAACGTAGTACCTGATATTTTAGGCAGTTTATTTTTGTTCCAAGATAACTTAACAACCAAATAATTAAGCCTTATGTACTGGCTACACTTAAAAACATGAGTTTAAAGTTATTGGTTATTTGGCTAGACTCCTACCTGCACCCTTAGGTGAAGGAGAGAAAAAAAAGAAAATGAAATTGAATCTAATTGAAAAATCAACCTATTTATTTACAGTGCTGAGTTTTTGCAGAGAGGCTAGGCAGGGAACTAGGCCTGCACATATCTGCTTATCTCTTCACAACTGGTTTATCTCATCACGCCTCAAATCATCTTTCAAAGGATCTTGCGGCACTGCAACCCTGGTTTAGCATCACTGGTATAGAGTGCAGACATTACATTTAGATCAATCTAGCTAGGGTTAAGTCAATCTAAGTGCTAATCTGTCAAACATATGGAGAGGCTAAATTGGGCAAAAAATGGTCAGCCTGATCTACATTAGCTCAGCTAAGGAGGTGAGCTAAGTTAGATGGTGAATGGGTTAGCCTGACCTAGTGAACATCTGCACATGTTCAGAACACACTTCTGGGGCTAGGAAAACCCCAGGTCAGCAATCTTCCTACCTCCCCAATCATGGCCAGACTATTTTTCTCCCTCCACATTGCCCCATCTCCAGACAGATACCCCCATGGACTCACTACCCCTACCCCTCACCCCAAATTACTTAGACTGGGTTCCTGGCATGGCTAAAGGCACTGGTGAGAATGTGCACAAGCCACTCCTGATCTATTATCACACAGCTTAAAGTAAGCCGCATCATCATAGATCAGGTGCAACAAATGTCTTCACGTGCCCATAGACATGTGACCCCTGACTCAAAGAGCATAAAGCCTGGGTAGTTATCAAATCTGCACAAAGATAGAGAATGCTCATAAATCAAATCCAGGAGGAATGCTCTAATATCCAGAGTAATTTGGTTTTTATCTGGGAATAGTTTTATGCAGCAGAGTGCAAAGGCCCTGGTCAAAATCACCATGCTAGATATTTATATAGACTACTGTTTCTCAACCTGTTTAACTTACTTTACAAAGTACAGTATTTTCATACTGCAGGTTTTGATTTTTCCCAGTTGGGATAGGATGATTTACAAAAGCCAGTGTTCATGAAAATATTTCATTTTAAAATAAAGCTCAATGCAGCCACCCTTTTAAAACTTTTCCTTTTTTAAGCTCCATTTAACAGACTACAGCATCTGTACTCTTAAGTCTGATGCAATAGGGTAACTTGTAACTGTTAGTATTGTATACTGTTCTTTTTAAGCTTTAATACAAGGTTTCATCTCTGTTCTAAGTTTTATGCAATAACTGGTAAATGATAATAAAGAAAAGGACAATTATTACATAATCTTGGAAATGTGAAAGACTGAACCGTTGGGGTTTGGTTTTATTTTTTAATGTATTTATAAAGTTTTTGCTTGCCTAAACAAATTCAATTATCTGAATGGCTGATCATAAGGTGCCAGATAATCTAGGTAAAAATGCTTTTAATATTATTTCAGTTTTAAAACTATAATGTATGTGAAAACTCTGAAAATTAACCATGACAATAAGACATCTTCTGAGCAACTGAATGTGGATGTGGGGTCAGATCCATTCTCTTTTATAAGATCTGATGCATTTTCCCCTCACTGTAATGAACCCATGGTGACTCCCAGATCCCAGGTCAAGTTGGTAAAGATGAGTTAAAAAAATGTACCTGTAAACTATTTGCATATGATTTGGACACACTGGGTGTGTCCAGATGTTCATGGACATTTGGTTTCCCCAGGAAAAGTAACGGTGATGCACCTTGCACTGCTACTTCTTGTCCCCAGGAAATGCCTGTGCCATGCACACTTTGGCATGAGGCAAGTTATGCTGGTGGGGTAGGGGAGGATGGGGCCAGCACTGGGATGGCCCCTGAATCCTTATCTAGGGTCCTGGGGGCCTGCTGGGGCTGCAGTCATGGTGATTCTGCCATGCAGAGCCTGGCTGGCAGCAGAGCGTGACTCTGGGTGGGCTAGCTCCACTTTTCAGCAGTGTGCACTGGCCAAGTGTATGTTGTTCCACGTTTTTTTTCCATGGTTTTCCTGACCCCTGGACATCCAGGGATAAAAAGAACCATAGAGGAAAAAAAACAGCACAGTACACACTCAAGCAGCATGTCCTTGAAGCGTGGAGAACACTGGACTGTGCAGTATGTAGCTCTGTAAACGTGCCTGCAGCACCACATGCCACGTGACCCTGCTTATCTGGATGTGCCCACTGAGTTATCAGCATGGAACCCCATGATGTTATTTTTAGAGCATCACTGCAGAGAATAAAGTTACAAGACTGGTATGAAACCCTGAAAGCTGTCAAATTCAAGGCTGAGCAAGAAGCTATCAGAAGCAATTGCAGAGCCAAGGTTCCCCTGTTAAACAAGAGTGCTGAATAAAGACCATAATGTGCTCAATTCAAGACAGGGCAGATTAGGTCTTCTCTCCTTTCCCTGAGAAGCATTAACTGCCAAAACTGGATCAGATGAGTAGAGTTCTGTGAAAACCATACCTTGCAAAAAGACTACATAAACAGTGAAAAACTAGGAAGATTCTGGAGATGTTAAGTCTCTTTTCCTTTAAGGATTCCAGTGCAACTATCTTTACTTTTAAATACATCAGAGCTATACAGTCTCTAAGCATCCAGTTTATGCCTTTGTTTTATAATTGCTGACATTTTAATCTCCAAAGGTTCAATAGAGTCAAGCAGTCACATGCAGACTATCACAAAAGAACATATATTATAGTTCACTTGAAAAAAAATATGTTGTTTTTTTCACATTTTTGTAATCTAAAACAAAAGGCACTGTGACTAGAACTGAGCTTTTTTTTTTTTTTTCTTTTGGCAAATAGGCTACTGGACATTTATTACTGTGAAATAATTTATGAATTTGGGAAGATTCCAGGTAGAAAAAAAAATTGGGGTTTAATTCAAAGAACCGCCACAGAGAAAAGCAGTGGTAGTATTCCCTTCAATTCAATAGCCTACTAGTTCAAATCCTCACTCAAGCTTGGATCTCCCCTATCTTAAGCCTCTCTTTTGCCTGAGGGTTCAAACCTACTTCTTCCACTTCTGGTAGAGTGGCCAAATTACCTAGTTACACAATGTTCTGAGCTGGGTATTTTCAATCTCTTCACTTGATACCATAGCACTTCATATAAAAATAGTTAATTGTTCAGTGGAGCATGGACTGAAAATCAGGTTCCCCCCACTTCTGCCCAATGAATGTCCTAACCACCATGCTACATATTTATTCTGTCTCAATGCCTATTTAAACAGTCTGCATCAAACTGGAACAATTCCAACTGGTGGATTTAAGAGAGACCCACTTCAGAACACTTCAGCGGAGAGGCAGAAACCCCCATTTCAAACACCAACTCACAATTAGTCCTAGACTGGATTTGGACTTGGTTTCTTACCTTCCAGTAGAATGCACCCACCAATTAATTGTACTCCAACCAGCCTGCACGTCTCACTACCACCCTTGTGTGTGGGAGGGCTCTGGCCTGGTCAGCATGCACAGCTTCCAGGTGGGGCCACTGCTGCCACGAGACCTGCTCAGCTTCCCCAGCAGGTAGGGAAGTGGCAGCAGTGGGTGTGCAGGGGAACTGCAGCTGGGTTGGAGCACAGAGCACGGGGCTGGTAGAAGAGCAGACCCCGGGATCCACACCCAGTGGGGTGACCAGAGCGGAGTATGGGTAGGCAGGATGTGGATGTGAGTATGTAGGGTGTGAAGGAGGGTGACAGGGGTGTGAGGACCCCCCCCCCCCCACATTCCCTCATGGTGCACAGCCCCCACCCCAACAGCAGCAGGTGGCAGGCCCACGGGGTGCTCATGGCCCACACAAGTGCTGCCATCTGGTGGGGCACCAGCCAGTTCCAGGAGCTGCATGGGTTGGTAGGGAGTGGAGCCAGGCCAGCCCACCTTTATCGCACAGGGCTCCCTGTGGCTCACATGTAGCTCCTGGCACTCACACTCCACTGGGGGGAAGCCCTGCATGATGGAGCCAGTTGCCTTCCCTGCTTCCTACCACCACATGCAGATGTCAAGACTCTCTTGGGAAGCAGGAGGCAGGGCTCCCATCCACTTCTGGCAGAGTCCCAGGAGCTGCAGGTGGCATCAGGGAGCAAGGAAGGCAGCTGGCTCCATCACATGGGGCTTGCCACTGGGGACATGCAAGGGTTGGAACCTGTATATGTGCCATGGGGAGCCCCACATGATAGAGGCAGGCTGGCCTGGCTCCACCCCATGCTGCTGCATGTAGCTCCCAGAACCGGAATATTTAGGTTGCAGTCCTTGCCTCTGTGAATGACTAGTTCATCATGCAAAGTAGAACAGCATCATCAAAAGACAGTGTGTGCATGTGAACACATGTGAATACAACATATTTCCTTTTGCCCCAGAATAGGACATTCTCCTGGGGGATGTAAGTCCAGATCCCTTCAGGCAGAAGAACTGAACTTGGTGGCCCACATCTTGGATATATACATAGCCAGTTACATCGCGGGTAAATAATACCACTACTGCTGCCATCACTACTACTACATTTATAAATTTAGCACTTTGCTACCATTTTTTTTTACAAGTGCCCCAAAATTAAGCATTTTACAAGGGTTGAAAATGAATATTTCATTTAACACAAAAACATTTTAAAACATTGCCAAGATATTTGTGTTTTGGTTCAAATCAAACATTTCCCCCTTTCCTCTTCCCCCTCCATCCCTGCTTCATTTGCCAAATCAAAAAAAAAAAATCACTGATATGCACAGCCTCATTTCTGATTGGAAGCATCTGTCTGTTGTGTCTATGAAAAGCACAACAAGACCATATTTGTATTACTAAATTGGTCCCCAAGATATAAACTGTTATATATTTATGGGAAAGAAAAGCTTGTTAAAGCCATGCTCACAGGGTTCTTTATACCTAGAGTATCACTCT